GGGGGGGGGGGGGGGGGGGGGGTGATTCATGAGAATTGGAGGCCTGCACCCACAGTAGTTTGTCCCTTCGTTGCACCCCACCGAGGTCTTCCCGGCGAAGTCGCACCCGAAACCCGCGGGGGCACGAGAGGTACTGCCGTGCTCAAGACCGGGGCAGGCGCCGATTTCTTCTCCTTCGTGCTTCGCTACCCTCGTGGGTTGTTGGATGACAGCTCTCCTAACAAAACGCGTGCCCAATACTCACGACAAAAGTGATGCCAAAACGTTGTTGTGTGCAGTACACGTTCGGTTTTGCTTGGTTTTCCCTTACATACCACCTCTCTTTGCCACTGCCCCCTCGGAAAAATCACCCCGACGCGCGCGACAGAGAAAGAGCGCAGCCGGAGAATGAGCGTGCGCGACAAGATCGCCGGGTTCGGGGGCCCCGCCAGCACGGGCATGGGCGGCGGCGGCGGCGGCGGAAGGCCCAACGGGGGCTTCGGGTCGACCGCCCGGATCGGAACGAACGTCCCCACGTCCAGCTCCAACGCTCGGGCCTCGCCCGCCTCCTCGTCCTCCCTGGGCGGCGACCCCGACTCCGTCAGCAAGCTCAAAGTCCCCGACGTCTTCAGGAACGCTACGAAACCGGCCGACATTCCCGTTGCAGTGTCTATGGAAGTCGCCCCTTCCGCTGCGCCCAAGAAATGGGCGACCCCGGCCGGGAGTGTGAAACTGGGCGTTTCGAACGGGGGAGGGTTTGGGGCGAGCAGGGTTGGGTCGGCGCCGGCGGGTGCGCCGGGATGGAAGGCTCGCAACGGCGGTGGTGCGTGTGTACTGAATTGATGGACGTGCGCGTCAAAGCCGGATATGCTGCTGCTGCTCACCGAAACAAAAAAACCAGAGCAACGAACCGCACGCACTTGAAGAAAAACACACAAAGCCGACAGCAGAGCAGTAGATGCGACGCGAAAGATGAGTCGCGCCTTTCGCGGGATTTCCGGCGGCGTTCGCGTTCCGAGCTGGTGGTAAACCCGGGATGCTCCATCGCTCGCTGCGCCCTGTCGAGGCCGCGCGACCTCAACCGGGCGAGTCAAGCACAGACACCCCTCCAGCTTATCGCCCCGACGCTGTTGCGTGCGCCCTGCCGTGCCCGCAGATGCTGCCCCGGACACCACCGCAAAGCGCCCCGTTTCGGACGCCGCGAAGAAGCCGCGCGACGTTTTGGGTCTTACCTCGGCCGGGTCGGCGCCTTCATTGGTACGACCCCCTCCCGCCGCCGTTGAGAGCGGGCCGACCGCAACAGGCAGCAGCGGCGGTAGCGGCGGGGGGGGTAGGGCAGAATCTGGACGAGCATCTCCTCCAAGGTATGTATTTTTTTTTGTCTGCGGACCAAGTGGAAGAAGGAATCCGTTGTTGTGCATGTTGTCGGATTTTGCCGCACACGGACGTTGTGGTAGTAAGAGAGAGAAAATGTCAAGACCGGTGTGTGTTCGGTTCGTTCCGTGGTCTGTTCTGCAGTGATCTTCTCCGCGGCGGACGAACAAACTCCTGCTTGCATCTTTGCGTCACTGCTGTTGCCGGTGATTTCCCGTGCGGAATGTTTTTTTAACCCTCACGTGACTGGGTTGGAGTAATTTGTTTTTTTTTGTTTTTTTCCCCCACAACTGGCTCTCTGCGGTCAAAGATCTTCCAAGCATGCGTGTACACCCGTAAACCACGGCGGCAAGGATGGTGCAGCAGTGGGTCCATGTGTGGGGCTCACAGGGATGGGGACGCGGTATATGTAAGGGTGACGAACAGGAGTACAGTAGTACTACTGCTGTACAGCAGTCGCAGCTATGCGGAGAGAAATAGACTGTCCAGCAGCATTAGTTTCTGAGCAGGTGTGCATGCCTGTCTCCGACACCAACCGTCGGCACAGAGGATGTACCTGTGCAAGCAGTACCTGTTGGCACATCTTCTCCACCTCATCCTTGGACAGAGCATACGGCAAGCGCAAATGCTAGCGGCGCTAGATGCGAAGACGCTGACGGGAAACCGCCTCACAGAAGCGCCAGATCGACGAAAAAAACGGCCCGCTCATGAGAGAATCGAGACCATCATCCACTATCACACAAATGCATAAAAATCGTGATAAAGGTTACTTTTCTGTACTACAAATAGAGAGCTGTGATCGGAGCTATGAAAGGAGCTGTAGTCCCGAAAACCCTTGCCTTTTGAGCGAAATTTTGCACACAGCAGACGAACCACCCTTCACTCCCAATACTGGGAACCACACGCACCGCAATCACAACAACATCAAGCACCAAGGCAGTACGTTAGCATTGGCTCCGGTGTGCGCTTTCTCTGCTCTCCCCTGCGGATGCGGCACCGGGTTGATCACATGTTCAGGGTGCTGTATGTACCCTCCGGTGGTATTTTGCGTTTGAATCTTACAGTACCGGTAGACAGGAGATTGGATCTGGAAAGGATTTCTTCCCCACGTCCGAGAGATGAGGCATGGGTGAATAGTATTGTACTATGTGAGTCCTGTGCGCATGGCTGATAAGCGTGCTTTCGGGGTGGACTGCCTGTGTTTCCCTGCTGGTCTCTATGTACGTTTTTTGCTCTTAAATAGCCGAGGCACAACGGCGATCTTTCGGCACGCAAAGTGATCGGAGCTGAGAACGGAGCTGAATCGGCCTGTAGTCACGCAAGGGTTAAGTGAGGGGCGGTTTGTGGTGCTGTTCAACACCGTCGACCACAGAGAGAAAAGCTGCTCGCCGCTGCTGTGTTTTCATGGTCCACACCCCCATGTTTCCTTGTCCCCGCCCGTTTTCTTGGTCACCCAATTTTCACGATTTTCGCGGAAACTTGGTTTGAGTGTTTGAAACACGAGGCGCGAGCGGTTGCAATACGCCTATAAGTAAATCATGCAAGCTTCTCGAAGAAGACCTTTTCGGGGATTCGCCTATTAGTTTCAAACATGTCTTGTTTTGTTCATGGCCTTAGCTATCCGTTGGTGCTCTAGTTTCCTCGATGCGTCTCGAAATGTTGCGCGATGCCCCCCCCCCCCCCCCCCGGCAAAAAAAGTTTAACCCCGGGGGGAGCCCAAAATTTTTTTCCCCCGGGAACCCACTCCGGGACTTTCCCCCCCGTGTGGAACCCGGCCCCCCCCCCCCCAACCGGGAAACCCAAAACCGGACCCAAAAAAATTAACCCGAACCCCCTCTCCGGGGAAAAAAAAACCGCCGCCCCCTTTCTCCAAAAAAAATTTGAAAAAGAGGGGGGGCACCGGGCCCCCCAACGGCGGGGGAGTTTCAACCAAAACCCCCAATTTTTTCCCCCAAGAAGTGGTTTTCTCCCTTCAAATTTATTGGGGTTGTTAAGCCCCGGGGGGTTTTTTTTTTGTGGGGGGGGTTTTGTGGCCTTTTCTTTGGGGGAAACCAACCCCCGGA